TGGTATTGGTATCCAAATTGACAAGAGTTACCCATGATAGAATGTAGGGTGTTGTCGACCTCTCATCTAAATATGAGATTGGTATTAACACAAAATGAACTAGCATATTATCCGAACCTTTGATGGAAACAACTTATAGTTGGATTTGGATAAAGTGTGGACGAATTATTAGACATGGATTGAATTGGAATCAATTATCATTACATGCTATACCAGAACCAAACAACTTTTGGAGCTTGGCTATATGCTAGTGCCAACTCCAGCATTTGCGAGTTTCTTTCCTTGCCTCATCTCACAAACCCTACACAAAAACGAGCCCCTAGTCTAGAAGAATCAAAACAAGAAGGTGAATTAATATTTCTTCATTTCTATGAGTGTGAAAGGGTCTAATCAATCATATTTTCATTAAGTAAGGAACTTTAATCAAATTACAAAGAGACCTCTCATTCTTATCAATGAAATCTTGTGCTAAAAGTTGCCATGTTCAGATAATTCACCAATCGAATGGTCTCTCCTCAAATTTGCTCTCCTATATATTTATATAATAAAGTATAAAATAATTCAAATCTACAAAAATAAACAAAATAACTTCTTTTTTTTCGTGGTTAAGATTGTTTAAATTTTATCTTAAAATTAATCTGACGATTAATATTAACTCTCTAAATTTATAGGAAAACTAAGTCACTAAGAATGTTTGGCTTTTCAAAAGTATTTATAGAACTTATAACTTTCTATCAGTACTTTAAAAAAAAATTAGTGTTTGGAGCAATTCCACCCCCACCGCACCACCACCCCCATCACTGTTGTTGCCACCTCCCCACCACTACCACCATGACCACAACAATCACCATTACGATCACCACCGCCACCTATGCCGCCCCATCACCACCAATGCCACCACCACTACCCTTCACCACCATCACCCCGTACCACCACCACCTCTCCACCATCACTACTACTACCACTGCCACCACCCCACCACCACCACCACTATCGCCACCCCACCAATAACGCTACCCCATCACAAACGCTGCTGCCGCCACCACCACTAGCATCACCCCCACCGCCCTACTACCACCATCGCTGTAGTCACCCTACCACCATTGTCATTGTCCTACCATCACCCCTACCACCCTCATCACCTTACCACAACTCCTTCGACCAACATCACCACCACCACCTCTGCCACAACCACCACCATTGCCACTCACCACTGATTGTTACCACCGTTGTCCACCGCCACCACTCACCATCATCGCCATTTTATGCTTATATTTATTAGCACTACCAGCATCATCCCACTACTATCGTCACCCACCACTAGCACTCACCACCACCATCGTTGTCCATTACCACCCACTGCCACCCACTACCACAACCCATCGCCACCCATTGTTGCCCATCATTGTCGTCAATCACTATCACTAACCCCAACAACACATACCACCACCAACCACCGTCACCCACCATTGCCCACCACTGTTGCCATCCACTATCACCCATCTCCACCACACCTACCATCACCACCATTCATCACCGCCTATCAACACAGTCGCCCAGAAGCTCTCGTCATCACCCACCACCACCATCATCACTGTCCACCATCACAACCTACCATCATCGTATCCCCCGACATCGCTATTGCCAACCACCATCACCGTCGCCCACCATCATCTACACCCACCACCACCGCCGTTGTCACCTATTACTACCACTTCCACAATTGTCACCAAAAAATCCACCACCACTATCACCGTTGCCACCTATGATTGCCACCATCACAATGATCATTATCACCCTCCACAATTATCACTGTTTTCCACCATAACCATTGTCGCCTACCATCACTACCACCGCTCACCCCCACTACAATCGGTGGTTAAATTATTTTATATCTCCTTTATATTTTTAATTTGATTTTAGGTGTGAATACAAATATGTTTATTGTTGACCATTTTTTTATTATCCCGCACCTTCAGACACGGGCAATAACCAGTGTCTCATTATTGACCCAACCATAGATGAATAATACTAAATAGACTACATGACAATATATACAAGGAAGTTCTCGCTATTGGTGCTAGGGGACCTGAGGGACATTTAGTTTCCATTGCCCTACTCTTCTACCTCAAGGACCAAGATCCCTATCTCAAAGACCAAGCCTCTCTTCAAAGATCAAGCCGCATATCTATCCAAGTTATCTTCCCCATATCTAATTAATTCATGGACATATGACACACATAGCCCATTTGGTCATGCAAATATGGTCAAGGTAGTTAGGGGTATGGGCAGCTAGTGCGCAACGTGTGACCTTTCGTACAAAGGTGGTTAGGAGTAGCTTATACGACTCCCTGGCCTGCGCTTAAAGGGTTCAACTTGGCCAAACACCCGAATTCAACTTGAGCTCAACCCGAAAAAAATAGGGCATGGATTAGAATTTTTAATACTTGGATTGGGCTTGGACAAAAAAAACTCAAACCCGAATTGAATTTGAGCAAGTCTTGGGTTGAGGCCTCGGGTTGTCGGGTTGAAATTGAGTTGAATCCGATTATTAAATCAGGTTGAACCCGAATATACATAAATATATAAATATATTTAACTAGGGTTAGTATTTATCTTCACTCTTTAGAGTTCAGACTTTCACTTCACTTAAAGTCTTCACCCCTGCGCCTTCATCACTCTCAGATCCCTCTTTCACTCGGCACTCCTCCCTTTCTCAGCCTCCCTCTCTCAATCGTCACTCGTATGAGTTATCTTAGACTCTCAGTCTCCCTCTCTTACTCATCACTCCTCCCTTTCTCATTCCCTCTCTCTTTAGCTGCGCCTTGCCCTTCATCTCAGATCACTTCAAAAAATCAAATCTGCACTTCAAAAAATCAACCCGAATTAAGTAACTCAAGCTCAATCCAATTTTTAACCTGAAATCAGCCTGAATTCAACCCAAGTCCGCCCAAATTAATATCGGGTAGTACTCGGATTGAGTACCTCGGGTTGAGGTAGGGTTAAAGTTGAAGATTATATACCTTAGATTGCGCTAGGGTTGACCTCTCAACCCGCCCGAGTTACACCCCCTATGCACTTATACGGGCCTTTGGCTTGCCCGAGTAATTGTGCTATAAGTACCCCATTAGGCCATTACTCACCCTCCATAACAACTAAGCCTGGTTGGTAAGAGAATATTCATTCCACTGTCCCACTCATCCCTAGGTTAATTGGCACCTTGGTGTCTCTTCTAGACCCCCTGATCCTATTCTTCCTTGGTATTTATTAGTTGGGGGTGGAGAGAATCGAGTGAATTTTTTCTCATGATTATACATGAGGAATTGTTAGACACAACATAGAGGGGTAAATAATTTTATTAAAATTAAAGCTTAAAAAATCACAAATTTTAAATCTAAATGACCACAATTACTAAATTGAACAATGAATTTGTCAATTGACCATTTGAATCCCTTTTACCCACAATAACAACCTCTTATCAATGAATGCAATGTATGTATGTCCACAACAAACCCCAACAATCCAATTAATCAATCTAACCCCTACAACCATGCCAATTTCACCAACCACAACTAAATCGATGAATATGTCAAATAAAGAAATTAAACAAGCATTCCATCGAACAAATTTTATGCGCATTTGTGCTATTGTAAGTGTCTATGAAAAATATAGCAATAAAGATCATCCATAACACAAATAATTTTTTGACGCGAAAGCCATCTTCGATCTTGAGTACACTTGGACGCACTCACCATAATGAACCATCTAGGCCTTTCAAACAATCTTCCAGGACACACCCAAAATTCTCATTCTACACACACTAATGTGAGTTTATGGTAGAATACTAAATAAGATTTTCTTCTTCAATGTGTGAAGTTGAATAGAAAAGATCAAGATGATTTGGCCTTTTGGGTCCTAGAGATCTAGAATTGTTCTTGAAGCTCTCCCTCATAGAGACATATTCTAGGTTGAAACTATAGCCCCCAAAAAAAATGTTTAATTGGAGCCCAAGTAAACTCAGATTTGTGATTGATCACTTGAGCAGTGAGAGAACAATCACAAAGCAATGGTTTTTGGAGTGAAAAATGAATTATTTTAGACCTCCAGGGAGCAGACTACTGGAGCTATCTCACGGCCGCTTGAGTCGTCTCTTAGACCGCTTGAGCAGCAAAAGAGTCGGCTCCACTTGTTCTCTATTTGCTCTATGTGTTCAAAGACAGCCCTAGTCGAAGACAAGCGAGGAGATGACGGCCTCTACTAGTTTTTAATTTAGAAATCTAGCAAAAACTCGACCTATTGAACATTAAGAAGTGTTGCTGAAATAAGATCCAATACATGACTCATTCTATATTTTTATAACACATTTAAGATTTAGAAAATATTTTTCATGAAAAGCCTAAGAGTCATTCATAGAAAATCCTAATTTCAATTCCATTATTCTAATTATCCTAAGTCTATAAATAAACCAAGCATACTTATGTATCTAGGTTATTACCTTTGTCCTAAATATTGAAGGTGTATTGGAGATCTCTTGATTTGACTTTGTAGAACTCCGTTCTTCTTTGACGTTTTCAAAACTTGATCTTTGAAGCATCTTAACCATGGAATTTGTTGAGATTTATATCAAGAATTCACGAAATTAGTCAATTTTTTAACAATTAGTGTGCTTACTCAGTTAGCTTCCCACCTACGTTCTTTTGGCAATTCTAGTGGGGGAGAGGTTAGCCTCACTAGTCATGCCTGTCGACACTAGGAGAAACAAAAGCTTGACCTTCCCATAAGTTGATGTGGGCAGACACTTGGTTTGATCCATATCAGCTACAAATTATCTAACAGAAACCTTCTCATAAGTTCAAATGGTTCATTCTACAAATAAAAGGGAAACATGATAAAAACAGTTTAACCTAGCACATCATGTGGTTATTACATGCATTATCTTGAGCCAAGTTCTTCAACATGAGGTCATATTACAAACTTAAAGGAGTGTGTGTAATAGCTAATTATACCAATTCTAGCACCTCGTTGCCTGATTCCCTTGAGTGAAATAAATTCTCAATATATTGTATAACAGAAGACGATGCTATAACATAGTTTTGCATCTGAATCCATGCTGAGGCCTCTGGAAAAAAAATAAAGCAAGAATATTGAAAAATAATATCAAAATCAAGCTCATCCAAAAACCTACAAATATGTAGTATTTTGATGCAAGCTAATTTTGGACTTGGATAAAGTATTTGGATGAGTAACTGTTCATTGTACACGTTACATACAATCAATCAGGTTAATAAGGTCCGGCTTTAAGCATGCAACTTAACATTCACAGTTTTGAAATTAATCAACTGTTCATGCGATGGTGGCTGCAAGTTTTGATACATTATCCACTTACCATTTTCATTACATTTCTTCAAGACTTGTGCCTTTGTGGGAACGAAATTTATTGCAGTATAGGCAGCAGTTCTAATAGCCCATCCATGGTACGGAGCAAAAACCTGCTCATATGCTCTGAAACATGACCAATTAAGGAATTTCCCCTGCAAATGAAATCTAGGTATTCTTAAAACTTGTTAGATTATTCTAGCAGTAGTATATATATCTGGAAGAAAGAATAAAGTTCACTGATATATAATGGAAAACCAGCAAATTGTTTATAAAAGTCACTTACTCATTCATTAGCTACTACTACTTCTTTCAGAGCTAAAGGGCAAAATATATCTTATAATGTAAGATAAAATGAATAAACTCAAAGAAGGTAATTTAGAAAAAAGACAAAGGAAAGGGACCTGCATATGTAATGGCAGCCTTGGTTGAATTGTAAGGTCCATTTGTATCTCTTGACATTTTTGTTTCTTCGTGCAAATTGATAAGAAAAGCTTTTCATGTTAGAAGGTTTTTCATGCCAAATATGCAAAGTGCATAGTCCTCGTATCTCTCGGTTTTTTTTTCGACAGACAAGTAATATCCCATTCTAATTACTACATTTTAGCTAGAAAAGAGAAGGCTATTGTGTACTGCAGCAAACAACTGGCCCAAGCTGAGCATAAAACCAAGAGGCATACCTCAGTGATATAATGGTCCAAAATCAGCTATTGTCTCACACCTATTATTGCCATGAATTCACTAAATATAGATATATAAAATAAATTTTTTATAATTTACCTCTAGTTTAGAATTTGCTCAAATACTACCTTGAGCATGTCGATTGAGCGCTTCACTCTCACAAGGTTTCTCGAATTACTGCATGAGACCTTTGCGCACTTGTGTTCAATATCATGATCAATTAAGTCCTCTAGAGTATCGATTGGCTTCGATCCCTCCACTAGTGCATCAACCTTACAACCACACAAACAACAATGAATGAATAAACATCACAATTATTCTGTTGGTTAATCACTCTCTACCTCTCTCATTTCTAACTTGATTTAGCAGCACCTTTCTTTCTTTTTGTTCTTTTGGTCATCAGATTCATTTAAGCAAACTTCTTAGTCTGTAGATATAGAAATAATATGTCGAACAACATATATATCCTCGTCTTTTCTTTCTTTGACTTTCTTAACTCCAATCTCTTATGTTATATATACATATATTTTTAAATAATATTTTTAAGTAATATTTTTATCAAAAAAATAACTTCACTAACAAACTTCATAGCAGTGTAATTTTCACAAAAATAAAAGCATGATTACTTACTATTTTCGAAAAGTGATCTATATAACTTTTAGTACACAATACACTTTGTTATGTATTATTATACATTTGATTAATTTTAGAAGCAAAACCGCAAGTCCCAACAATGGATTACACTTGATCCCAAAACTATGGACCTGATTTTACTTTACACCTTGAATTATCTCCTTTTTTTCACATTATCTCATCAACTACTTGAATTATTTTATATTATCCTAAGCACACTCTTTTTTTAGACGAAAATTATTGACGTACTAGGATAAAGTGAAAAAAATTACATAAGTTGAGAGTAAAATGAAACAAACTTCCATTAAATATGCTATAGACGTTAATAGTTAGAACAATGTCAAACTAATCAAATAATTTAGGGTACAATTTAAAAAACACGATAATTAAGGGATAATATAAAAATAGTCATAGTTAAACCGTCAAAGTATAATTTATTCCCAAAAATATTTTTAAAAAGCATTTACAACAAAGTGTATTGAGCAAAAGGGGTTGTTTGATAGCCTAACTTAATGCATAAGAGCATATTTAACTCTGATTTAAATTTAGATTCAAATTAATTTATTACAACAAAGTGTATTGTGCATCAAGGGTTGTTTGATAGCCTAACTTTAGGGGTGATAATTTTTGATACGACACGATAACTCGATACGAATAAATGGGTTTGAGTTGATTAATTTTTTGACACGCACATGACACGACCCACCAACACGAAGTGTTAATGAGTTGTGTTCGGGTTTGATTGACCCGTCAACACGAAGTTTTTAATTCGAAGGAGATAAACTTGACCTTTTCGTTGCATGTATGAATTTTCATGTTTTGATGACTTGTTTTTTCTATTACTTATGATGTTTAATTTGGTTGTATGATGTACGATTAACATATTTAATTTGTATTATATAAATAAAATATTAATTATTTGTAACTGTTTATCAAGCACTGACATAATTATTGTATAAAAAAGATACTATTACTCATTATTGTTGTTATTATTATTATTAAGTTAATTTTTAGTTTGTAGAAAAAGTATGAGGAGAGATTCAATTAAGTGAAAATAAAATCTTAGCGTTAAATTTTTTATTCAAAGTTTACATAGCTCAACACGAATATGAACACGAACACGACACGAAAATAAATAGGTCAACTCGACACGACACGAATAGTTAAATGGGTTGGGTATGAGTTGACTAATGTTCGACATGACTAATGTTCGACACGACACGAACCCGACACAACACGACTCGATTGTCACCCTACCTAACTTAATGCATAAAAGCATATCCAACTCTAACTTAAATTTAAATTCAAATTTAAATTTGAGTCTAAATGGTTTAAAAATCTTCTTTAACATTGGACTTAAACTTGTACCAAATTAACAAAAAACTTATTCCAGACTCAAATTAAAAGAAATTCAAATTCTATACCCAAATTTTCAACGGTAATTTTTTATTTAATCCAAAACAAAAAAGATTTCTTCGATAACTTGTTTCCTACTTTTTCTTACCTCTCTCTTTTATGTTGTTTCCATCGTTGATCGCCACCGAAGTATTCATAGATCCTTTAAAGACCTGTAGGTAAGCTTCTTTCTTTTCAGCTTTCATCTTCCATCTTCTTGATTTTTATATTTTTCAAAACCCTAATTTTATACATCTTTCATACTATATAAACCCTAAACCTACCGATCAAAATTTTCTTAATTTTTTTGAGTTCAATACTGTCAATAGTGGACTTGCAGGCCTCCAATTCTTCATGAAATTTCAAGCCTTCACTATCCCCAAATTTAGAAATTTCATCATTTTGTTTCTTCAATCATCCATTTTTGTTGAAAATGATCCATTTTTTGTGTTGGTTAGACCAGACTCATATCAAAATAAATATTTTTTTCTTTATCTAGATTTACAAAAGAAGATAAGAGATTAGAACAATCCATGAATTCTCAGGCAGTTTTCTTTTGTTTCTTTTTATTCCTAGGGAGTATCCATATTTAATTTTTTTTTGAATTACCCATTTATAGAGAGATATGCAAGTTTTATTTATTTTACAAGATTTTATGATTTGAATCACACAAAAAATGAGTTTTGAGATAATAAAGAATTTTTTTTAAAAGATTTGAGTAGATATCTAAATTTAGTCATTGAAGTACTATATTTGAAATCAAATTTTTTACTTAAATTTGAGTTTAAATTTAAATCATAATTGTAGATGCTCTTAAGAGAGATTAGAAGTCTCTTCAACACTTCTCATATTTTTAAGGGTGAGTCATCCTTGTTTCTCAGGTGACATGTTTTAATTTCGTTCGAGTTGCAGTAGTTAATATTCGAACTTGAGAGAATAATTGACACAAATCTATATATATATATATATATATATCAAATAATTAGTGAAAAGAAAGATCACCTTGGCCGAAAATTCCATGACGGCGAACTTATAAGGCATTCCTAAGTAGATTATGAGAGGGACCATGGCGCGGCAAGCGGAAACGAACTGCCCTACCTCGAGACGCAGCGTCGGAGAATTCACGCAATTAGCAAGTTCCTTAAAAGAGTCCGCAATCTTTGTCAGAACTTTCTCTCCCTTCACCACCATTGCAGAGAGAGCTTCGGAACTCCTCTTAATTTGTCCTCTGTCTCTCTCTCCCTCTCTCTCTCAAGGAGGTGAGTGCCGGTTCGCTTATTAATTTATGTTTAATGAATTGTGACACTTTTGAATTATAAACGGTGTATAACTAATATATGAACAAGTTGTATCTGTGTATTTTTTTTTAATTAAATTCATTTATACTCAATTCGTTTATTAATAATATCAGATACACTCGTTTACGAAACATATGACTTAAAAGAAGATTTAAACAGTTTATCATATTTTGATACCCAACTTTGGAGTATGAATTTGAATTTTTGTTTTCAATATTAAAAAAAGGGAGAAATTCCATTATGCCCGCATTCATGGAGCAAAGTGAAGGCTCTTGGTCACAAAACCGCCATCATCAGAACCTATTCCCTCACAGATTCTTTATCATCGAACCCTTTATAGTTAGAGCTTATTCCCCATAAATCCACTTACCACCGCATCATTTTCTCAAAATTGAACACTTGTAATTAAAGTTGTTAAAATATGATATAATTCGTTAATACATCACATGCACAATATGAAATTAGAAGGATCGAGCTTTTTTTAAACAACCCATTTCATAAACAAATGGATTTAACACGACATAAATCATTTATTATCCGTTCTACACATACGAACCCGATATAAAATGATTCGTTAAAAATGAATTCATAAAAAAAATTGAATATGAATAAAGTGTTTTTTAACACAAATCAACTAAAATGCAATACAAATTCCTCTCATCCGACAAAACTCACAAGCGTACCTATAACTCCAACAAAATGAATTCCATGAACAGAGGACCAGTATGCTTACTGTGTGCGTGATCCAAAGTACCCAAAAAAAAAATGCTAAATGAAATCACTATGGGTGTAGGTGTGCGTGCGCGAGAGAGGGAGATCTTGGAAAATATTGACGATAACAGTTACACTATATCAATAGTGTTATTTTATGTAATTATTTACTAACAAGTGGACAAGTGAGTCCTACAAAATTCAATAACCATCATCCATGCAAAAAAAAAAAATGGTTCACTTTCTCCATTTTCTAACTTTCTTATTAGTCTGTTACATCACGTGGCATTATTGACATGGTGTAACCGTTACATTGAATATTTATTTAGAATACCGTTATATTGAATATTTATTCTAAAATTCTGAGTAAATATTCAATGTAATGGTTATACTACATCAGCGGTATCATGTGGTATAACCGTTCAATCAAAAAACTAGAAAATAGATAAACTGAAAGCCATTTCTTTACATGAACGTGATTATCTATTATATGAATGAGTGATTAAATTATGAAAGTTACTATTAATAATTAAGTTACAAATGATAAGAGGGTTTTTTTTTTTGTACGTAAAATAGATATGCAAATAGATTATTTTACATAGGGAGCATTGTCCATCGGCACCGCACAACTATCTGCACAAAACTCCATCACACCACCGCCGGTGCCAAATCTAAGACCCCACAACGTACTCTAGGCATTGAAGAGTATCTTTAGTTCCACCGAACTACCATAATTATGAAAACTCAAACTCAAGAATTGAGCAAAAAGAATTGAATTCTTACCATTGGACCAATTGCTCGGTGGTGATTGAGGTTATTTATCATTGATGCAGAAAGGTTGTGATTGATCATGACTAACCGTAACTTCACCCATAAAATGTGTAACTTTACTTTTAAAAGTTGTTACTTTCATGATCAATCATAACATTCTGTGATCGATCATGTTCTTAGTAGTTCTAACTAATAGTCCAAAAAACTATGACTTAAACCTTAGGAATGTATAAATCTCGGTGTGATACTTCCTTCGATATCTTAGCCTTCTTCATGAGTAAAATGTATACTCCTTGACCTTCTATTTTACCTCAACAAAATCACGTGGTTGTTCTTCAATAGTTATGATGCTATAGTATACATTCTTACCAATATTTTAGATATAAAGAAATTCATATAATTCCATCAGAATTCTCGTAGTCCCAAAAAAATGTTGATGGCCATGAGTAGTGCACGAGGAAAAATTGCGTACCTTTGAGAGTGATGGTGATTAAGGGATCTAGTAGTTTTTGGGGGGAAAACAAAGCAAAACTCCTCCCTCCTGCAAAACGAACACACAGCTAAAGACTCGAGATCGGTCCGTTGGAGGTACTATGATACTTAAGTCAGTAAATATTTTGATGTTAAGTGAACTAATTCCAAAGGGGAGAGAGAGCGTACCTTAGGCTTAAGCATTACATGATACTTATAGTTTTTCTTGACGCCCTTTCTACAAGGGTTTTCGCACGGCTCATGGTGGTAAACCCGTTTCCTAGCCGAATCCCATTGATTTACGGTGGAGCTTCTTTAGGTTTCCTTTCTCATTCGTAAACAACTTCCTTATCGATATCGCATCGCCTTTGATTACCCGGGATAGACTAGTTTCCTCTATCCTAAACAAACTCAGAATAGAACTAAAATCACTGTGTTTGCTTAGTCTTGTCTACTGCTCGGTTTACTTAATCGAACACTTCCTCTATTAATTCAGCTTTCTATGGCATTTGCGAGGGCCGGCAAACCAATGACCTGCAGAGGCACTCTGCCTTAGTCACGTGGCATTCATAGGTGGCTTTTTGCCATGTGTTTCAGGACACGTGAGCCCATTAACTAGTTTAATCATGCAAAGTCATTTTGAGGTCCTTCAAGTATTATATTTATATTTATCTTTTTCATTTCTCATTTTATAAATATGTAAGAGGAAAAAATCTATTACCTAAAGTCATTAGAATTTGATTGAAAAATACAAATATGGGCCACTCTCATTTTCCTGCAAAACGAGCAAATTGCTAGATACCGGAGTTGAGCTGGTCGGAGTGACCTCAATGCATAATTTAATAAATAAGCATTTGCTATTTATAATGTATGTGTCTCATCCTTCGATTAAGGTTCCTTTCCTTTAGCCAGATTAGATGGCACATCTATCATAACAGTCACAATTTTCCTCACTTTTGACTTCCATCTCCTCCGGTTTTTCCTTTCACGTTTGTAATAAATCCTTATAAATCTGCCGAACTCTTTCCCACGTTTTCCCCTGATTAACTCGAGGGAACATTTCTCAATTTATTTGACCGAGTAATGGTGATTGCTCAGTTATGCGGGCTTTATGGTGCAATCATTTTACCCTCCTTCATTTGCCCCTCAGGGGATGTTTGCCACGTGGCAAATATCAGCAAGACATTTTTTTTAATTCTTTAATCATATCGCATTAAATGACCAGCATGATTTCCTGCAAAAAGACGAACTGCACCTCTCTTCTTTTCATAGGAGTGTGTTACATCATTTATTATAGTCTTTTTTTCGTCTGGGTGTGGCCATCATTTACTATAATTGTCTTTTTGTCTTCCTTACTTCATTTCTGCATACTTTGAGGTCTTTTGGTGTTTCTTTTCCTTTTTTCTTTGTAAGTGCCTTTTCACTTTCCTCCTCTTGTTTACTTTCTCCAATGGCTCCTATGAAGAAAGATTAGATATCCAATTTTCGATCCAAATATGCAATCTCAAATGATGTGTTTGTTAGAGTGGTGGGTGAGGATGAACCCTTGTTGGGGTCCTAGGAATTTGTTCCTATTCCTACGAGAGCCATCACAGAGGGAGAAATTAGGTTCCCCTCCACACTCTGCTTATTTGGGTCCTACACTCTTTAAAACTTTGTCTCATTCAGTATTGTCCAAACTTCTTCAGGATAGTAATGCAGGTTTTTGCCTTAAACAACCTCCTTGGTACCAACTTAGGTATTTGGGAAATCCTTGATTGTTATACGATTGCCCCCACTTCAGATAAGAATTACTGGTCAAAAAAATCGACCGTTATCTGGTCATCCACCTCCCTAATTCGAACAGGGGTCATGAAAAAGATGTTTTGTTTGTTCCCGAAAATTGGGAACATAGATGGCTAAAAGCCCCACTACAATTGTCCGTTTGAAGAGGGTGCACTAGGCGATTTTCATTGGTGCCCTTTCATTCTTCAATGTGTTTTATTATAAAAAAAAAAAAAAAAGTTAAAAGGATTTTGTATTTGTTACAGGTGATTTTGCGAAGGGCAAGGTGCCTAATTTTAAGGTCAATCTTTCGAATTTGCAAAAAGTTTGGTGATTTGGGGCCACAAATGTTTTGTGTCGAGCTGCACATGTGTTGCTAGGACACGAGCCAACCTACAAGTCCTTTATAGCGGTTCCTTCCCTCACTTCTTAGCAATTAGTGGTTCAAAGAGATGCTCGGGCAAATAAGGCATCCTCATCTTCTGTATCGAAGAGTTCTAAGAAGAGAAGTATAGGGAGAAACTGAGTGATTCGAACTTATTTCGTGATATGATATTTTATATTATACACTCAAGTATAAGTGGTCGAATTGTAATTTTCTCGGTTTAAGTCCAAGATCGATCCCACGAATAGTGTTAATAATGAGAATTTAAAATAAGAACAGTGAAGTTATTGTTGAAGCAGTGTAACATGAGATAGTTTGTGATGTGAGCTTATATTGATAATTAGTCTAAATAAATGAAATGTATAAATAAATTGATAAAAAACAATAATATAAAAAGTACCCTTTAGTTTAAGGATCTCATATGTTTTATATTGATTAAGTACTGAAAATGCTACCTTACAACAATTAACTTCCAAGTCACTGGAAAGTTAACCTGTAGGTCTGATGTATATAAATCATATCACAATAACTTCTTAGGTTAGCTGGTGATATTATTTAACCATAACACAACAATTTCTTAGGTTAACTGGTGGTATTATTTGTCAATTGACTAATCCAAGTAAATCAGAAGGTCAAAACATTCATGAGGATCACTTGAATTACTTAATTGACTTTATTATAGTATGTATCAGTTAAACAATCCTAATAATCCAAAAGGACAAACCATTCAGGAAGATAATTTAGGTTATTCATCTGACAATTTTTATATTTTGTATCAGTTAAATAACCTTAATAATCCAGAAAGACAAGCAATTCAAGAGGATTATTTAGATATTAATCTGACAATTGTACCATGCAACAGTTAAAACATTCTTAGTGCACTTGGAGGTCAAGCCTTACTGTTGGAACACCGTAGATATTCAACCGGTAGGCTGTTGATTCACTGATGACATAATTTTGGGCTACATAGTAACATGCAATTACATACGTCACTGTATCATGCATGAAGTTCATAAAAATAGATAGTATAAAATATTAAATATTGCTCGGCGTTCATAACCGTGAGCATATTATATATATATATATATATAGCTTAATAAAACATCAGTATTTCCATAGTTTAACCAATATTATATATATGTTCACCCCTCACTGAAGGGTATAAGTAACTACTCACACTCCATTACTATAGACAAGTAAGAAATGCAGGAAATTATCATTACAACAGTAAATATAATACAAACACTAACACTTCTTTCACAAGGAACAATTGAAATACAACCACCTTTAATATCAGTTTAGGCACAAAGGTGGCAGCAATTCAATTTTTCAAATAGAAAGACATAATAGAAATGTAGAAATACAGAGTTTTGGCTAGAGAGTAGGACAGACTGGATCTTGAATTCTCTCTATGACTTTCTCTCTTTCTCTTTTCTTTTTCTTGAATTCTCTCTGGACTCCCTTGGATTCTCTCCCTTTCTTTTTTTCCCCACCATCCCGTTTCAAATGAAGTGCAGTCCCTTTATATAGGCATCAGGGAAACAGGAGGTGGATGATGAGCACCAACCGCCTAACACCACTGTCCTAACGCCACCACCACCGTCTGAACGGTCCTTGTTTGCTAGTGGCCTTCCATCTTCTTATTGCATGTTCTTGGTCTTGAATTACACTTTATTCCCTACTAATTTCAAGCTTTAACAAAATGCTCATTATACTTTCCGGCAATTCTGCACAAAACCCTGAAATTTTAAACATAACATGCATAAAACTCCAGCTTATGCACAAACCCTAATTTATAGTTTTTAACTGATTTATCTTACATAATGTAATTATTTAGCTATATTAATTTACATAATAATTAGGGTTAATCACTGAGTCATGAAGAATTTCATTGATCTGGTCCTAGGCCCGACTTCTGGAGGGACACCAAAGCCAGATATGTCAGCGGTGGTTCGACCATCTGCAGTCCGAACTGAACCCTCTCCGTCATTTCAAAACAAAAGTCATGTCACTACTGTTTCAAAGCATCGGGCTCTATCGCCTGAACTCGAGGATGATAGTGACTTGGTAGAGGATTCTACTTCAATTATCAAGTTGGTAAGGGGGCAATCTGTTGAGAAAAAAAGGAAAGTCATTGTCGAGCCATTCGCCGACGATCTTAGAGGGGCTTAGGTCTGGAAGCCTTGGATGCGGGCTCATGATAGAGACATAGACATTCATTCAAAGGACTCTGTCGCTGATGATGTTGATGTTGCGGTGGGTTTGGACAAGGCTACGATCCTTTCCCCCGATCTACGAATTTTTGAGAATCAGCACGACGATTCTCTTGTTCGGAGTGTTGTTCAATTGATGGTGGTGGTAAGGCTTTGGTATTCTTTTTCCTTTCTCGGATTTTTTAGTATTTAACCCATTCCTCCTCATGTCTTCTTTTAGGGCATGCAATGAGTATTTGACCTTGGGTCTCGAGTTGTGAGTAGGAGCAAAGAGGTAAAAGAAGCCCTAGCCTCGAAGTCTTTGGCTATGGAGATGTATGGGCGTCAGAGGCAAATTCCCTAAAAGCTCTTGATGATATTGATCGACTCCAAACAATTTATAATTATATCTATTGAGTTATCAAAATTTTTACTTTTAATAGAAAACTTGGATGAAGAAATGGACTTCATTGTTGAATTTCTCTCATGAAAACGAGTTTGACTAGTATGATATTGACTATGTTTAGTACCGAGGACAAATTAGCTTAAGTTAAATTAATTAAACGAAATTAAATGAATTAAAAAAATAATTAAAAAAAACGATGATGAATAGCACAGCCATGGCAGCCTGCCATGACTATTTAGCTGACATTAACCATTTTAGGAAGGCAAAGAAGTATAATTGCCTGCCATTGCCGCCCATGACCATAGATCATTACTTTGACTAAAGACTGAAACCATTCCTCCTTAGTGTATAAATACAGGCAAAACAAATGAAAGGGGGGAGAAAGAAATCGGGTAGCCTTGGTCTTGGAAGATAAACACACACACACACAAGGAGAGAAAGAGAGAGAGAGAGGTCATCCACCATTGTTGAGGTGCTAAAGCTCTTGGGATGATCAATCCAAGTACAAAGGTAGGATTAAAACTATCTTGTTATCTTCCTTGATCTATTGATTGTAGAATATATATATATATATATACCAAATAAAAGACAAGTGCGGAATTCATGGAAGATAGAAGAATATGCACAGATATGAAAAATATACAAAATATTTCAATTAAAAAAAATAAATACTTACAACACTAGAACTAATGGTCTAGTGGAAATAAGTGGTAATAGGGCTTGAGAAGCTCTTCTTTTGCATCATGAAGAAGGCTTTACAAGTGAGGGTAGGATTACAAAACTAGAGGGTTTGTAATGTTCTTTGAAACTAGACTAGAGAGTGTCTGAGTGTTCAAAGCTTTCAAGCTTATGAAGCTTGTTTGTTGAGAAGAGGGAGCTGCCTTATATAGAGGTAAGGGACTCCGGATTCCTCTTGTAATAATTCTGTCTTTCTCTTTTACTCAGGGTAAAGTGAATTCACATTCTTGCTTTCGGCTGAAAAGTGGAGTAAGATTCTTTTACCCGGGTAACTAGGACATGTTGAAAGGACTAGTGGGTCCTTGTTTGTCCTGAGAATCCATCTTTCGGTGGAAAAGCAGATTTGTGGGTCCTGCCTTTGTCTGTGAGAATCCTGCTTTTAGGGAAAGGGGATCCTATGCAGACTTGTGATATTATCTTTACATAGAGTGGACAACTTTTCTTTCTTTACTGAAGAAAGTAGTGATTGAAGCCACTTTATGTAAATAATAATTCACGGGAGTGCAAGGTCAGGTGTGAGGTCATCAACATCATCAAAGTCTTCTATTCCTTCAAAAGGATCCTGAGCATATCCTGCTGGGAGTTCTGAGGAGGAACTTTGAGAAGATGATTCACTATCTGAGCCAAGTTGTTCAAGGAGCTTCTGGAGGAGCTTTGTCTTGGACTTCTTCTTGCTAGACTTCTTCTGAGAACCTTTAGATGAAGATTCTTCTGGTTGAGTTTGTCTTGTAGGAAGGTTAGCCTGGCTTGAATGAGCGGGCAGTTCCTTCATTGGAGTTGCTGGTTGTAAGGGACCTGGGACTACTACTGGAGTTGTACCCTTACAGGGAAGTCTCGTTTCACCATTGCGATAGTGTCGCTATGCTGAAACCTGGGCCACCATTTGGCATAGAATTGTCGGGTCAAGTTGAATCCCACAATTTTCCATTGCCATTTGAGTATCCACGGGACTTTGTACCTGCAAAGAAATATTAGTAATAAAGGTAATGGGGACTCCTGTTTACTAGGACGGTAAAGGGAGTAAAAGATATTAATCTGATCTTTAAGATCAGCTGGAAAGATTTCATCAATGGGACCATGTTGATGCCACCACTGATTAAACCATGCAGGAATATGGCTTTTTGAAATCTTTATGGAAATTTAGGACCAGGAATGGGACAAATCCTCATTCTGGTAGAGTAATATTTTTGACCACGATTCAATGTAGTCATAATAATTAAACTGTCTGGTGTGAAAAGGAAGTTCTCGGAGTAAAGAAGGGTGAGAACCCCAATCCTCAACAGAAATAATTTTGATAATATACAAGCTATGATAGATAACCTTAGTTTGGGTTTATCTTATCATAAATGGCTTGGTAAATATGGATTTGGTA